AAACGAACCGGGCGAGCCCCGAACTGGCGGCAATCAGTTTCAGCCAGAATTCCTGCCAGCAGCGGACGGGCCCTCCTGCCGAGGGCACGGGGGCTTCGACAGACCCCCTTTTCCTGGGCAGGTTATCCTCGATGGTCACGTCCCCCATTGTCTGTTTTTCTGGGCGCTTTTAAAGTTTTTAGGATCCTTCGTTCTTGAGGCATTCTTCGTGTTCTAGGTAACACTCCAAGTCCCTTAAAATCCAAAGTTTGGTCTTGGCCCGTCTGTCCAGATTGCAGAGTTTCAGAAGGGGCACCTTCTGAGACCAACCCCCTTCTTGGGGCAAGAATCTAAATTGAAGAATCTAACTCTAAGGGCTACCTAGCTTCTGCTTGAACACTTCCAGCAAACTAGAGCCCATCAGCTCTCTGAGTAACGGGCTCCACCTTCAAATTGTTCTTACAGGTAGTCCTTGACTTATGACCATTCGTTTAATGACCATTCGAAGTTACAACACAGCCGTGAAAAAAGTGACTTACAACCATTGCAGCATCCCCATAGTCACGTGATCAAAATTTGGGTGTTTGGTCACTGGCATGTATTTACAATGATTGCAGCGTCCTGGGGTCACATGACAACCATTTGCGACCTTCCCAGGGGACTTCCAACAAGCAAAGTCAATGAGGGAAGCTGGATTCGCTTATGACCACATGATTTGCTTAATGACCGTGGTAAAAAAGGTAAAATAGAGTGTGACTCACTTAACAACCATATTGCTTAGCAACAGAGGTTACAGTACCAATTGTGGTCATAAGTTGAGGACTACCTGTATTGTCAAGAAGTTTTTCAAAAGATTCAGCCAGGATCTGCCCCCTTGTAACTTCAGTCTCTGTCCGCATCCTGGGCCTTCTTCTGCATGACATCCTTTCAGGCCTTGAAAGGCATTACCATTCTCCACTTCCCCCAATTCTCAAGGGAAAGCAAGGAATGTTGTTCTTTACAGCACCACAAAATACTTTGCATCTGATGAAATGGCCTCATTTTCTCAAACTTCTGTTTTCCTGGGTCCTACGCAGGGAATGGGCTAAGCCATGGTTTGCTTATCTATGCTTTTTGGAAAACCTTGTCAGGTTCATCCTGCATGCTAAACTGAGTGGGCTTTGCTTGCTTGCGACCCTTCTGAAATTGGGTACTGGGGAAACTTATGGATCGCAAACACGTGGCTTAAACTGAATGCATGCACTCAGGAAGGAAGGCTTCGCACGTAGCTTATGGGCACGGAGGATGCGGTTTGGGGGTGAAAAATATGGCTTGTGAAAAGAGGCTTAACGCAATGCATCCAGACCACCTCAGGTGTCCTCTCCCAGTGAGCACTGAACCTTGCGCTGTGCCGCATGGAAGCCTCTCTGACCTTGAGCACTGACCTCCTCCACAATTACTCCATGAAGGAGTTCAGCAAGGCACCAAAGTCAGTTGTACCACATGCCCCCCCAAAGAGGTTTGGCAAGACCAAGAGAGGCACATTCGGCGTGCACCAGTTCCTGTCCCACAACCAGGTCTCAATCCCGGCGGGCAGGAATCCAGGTGATCTATTTCTCAGGTTCTTGGTAGCCCCCTTCTCACAGCCTTCCCTAAAAGAGGGAAGCCGGAGACGGGCAAAAGTTGTCCAAAAGGGCCAGCCTGGTGGAGGGACTAAGAGAGGACACCTGTGTGCCTCTTTTAAAATACAGGTCATCCCTGTTTAGCGACCACAATCGGGACTGGCAATTTGATCGTTAAGCAAAGTGGTCGCTAACTGAAACCACAACTGTGCTTACGATCTTCCTTTGGTTTTCCTTTGCTTTACAGACCTTTGCTTTACAGAAGGTTGTCAACGCAAGGATTGGTCGTAAAGTTACGTTTTCATCACCGTTGTAAATGAAAACGGTTGCTAAACAAGGCAGTCGCTAAACGAGGACTACCTGTAGACAGCACGACATGCCTCTTTTTTATTCTATACTTGTCATTAGGCTTTTTAGTTTTCCTAGGGGGATTGACTGATTTCCTTATTTTTCCCCTCAAACACGTTTTCCACACCTGCAACCTTGGAATCGGCAGGCTGGGCCGCCTTGAGTTTGCCTCCAGTCCCTGATCCTAGGAAGAATTATGGCCCCAATGGATCAATGGGGCTTTTCCTCCCTTTCCTACCAAGAGCTCAAGCTGGGCTCAAAGGGGTCTTCTGCCTTTTGTCCCTTCACAACAGCCCTGTAAGGTAGACCACGAGAAAGCAAATAGCTGGGAATCACTCGCTGAGCTGGAATCTTAGCCCAACCGTCGCTAATAAACAAACGCAATGCCGCCTTCGGGGCACGTTGGACTCCAACTCCCATCACTCAGATATCGGCCCAGAAGGATGAGCTTTGGAGTCTGACAGACCCAGAGAGCCCAGCGGGAGGACTGGTGTTTGGGAGGCTCCGCAGGACTCCCGACCAGTGGCCGGTCGGCTGCCGGGGATGATGGGATCTGTAGTCCATCCCATCTGGAACGCCTGCTCGTGGCAAAGGCTGCCTTATAACCCCCACCCACGTCCCCCAGCAGAACAAAACCCCTTTTGGTCCCCGCCCACCAGAACATCCCCCCCCCAATCCAGCTGCGGCTGCGCGCGCGATCTCGGCCTCCCTTTTCTTTTCTCAAACGGGAGAGAAGTGTCCGCTCTCGAGCGCCGTCGCTCCCGTCGATTCCCACCTCGGACGCGCCGATTGGCCTCGCGGGGCCACCGTCCCACTCCCTCTCCCCTCGCTTTCTCCCCCGTCCGCCCCCCCTCCTCCAATCCGCGCGCGCCTCGCCCTCTGGGCCCGCCCACCGGTCCTCTCCGCCCTCCCCTCCCCCAGCCCAACGGCTCTGCGTCCGGACTGTACGTGGCAGCGGGCCCGTCTTCGGCCTATTAGGAACGGCCCCGTGCATCGGAAGGGGCGTGGCCAGGGGCGGAAGCGCCCCCCGTCGCCGCCTCTTCCCCTGGCT